GTTCATTATACAATTGAATGTGTTTTTAAAATTCAGTTATTAACTTTGGTCTGCCTTTTGCTTTGTAAGGTGTTTGTTCGTTTTAATACTGGAAAGCAGTTTCAGCCAGCCGGCTGAGAATTGTGCCTGGCTGAAATTAATCTTTCTCCTCCTACTTGTCGCCTCTGCCATCCGCCATAGCAATAGCTCCTGCAGCCCAGTTGCCATCAGAGCATGGACAGGACAGATGAGTGGAAACAATTAGAAGCTTCTTAACCTGTTCACTGAACCTTCCCTTTTCAACTGTGTAAAATACACCAACCTCAGCACTGACTGACTTCAGAGGCTCCTGAAGATTTAAGACATGCGTTAAGACATGCTGTTTCCTATGCTTAAAGCTCAACAATCGAAGCTACGCCAGTTCTGACGAGCCTTAAACATAATGGGTGAATGTATCCAGTGCAGGTGAAGTGGCTCTGACTTCATGGTAGTTTTTCTTGGCTGCCTCTAACCTGTTGGGAGACACAAATAATTCTGTGCTGTAATGCTATAAACAAAATATTTAAAGATCACGCACAAATGCACAAGGCGTCCTTGCCTGGAAATGTGCTTAAACACCCTCAGACTTTAGCACATTGTTGAATTTAAGTGTTTGTGCAAGAACCGGCTGTTCTGAACTAAGACAGAGGCATTGTTTGGGGGATTTTCTTTTCCTCCTTACTCTGAGAGAACAAAACCCAAGCTTGCAAAGCGTCTAACAAGATTTAGAAAGGTCTGTCTATTTTAGATCAGTTACGGGAAGATAACAAACCGCCACAGTTGTTAGTGCGATGCATGCCTCAGTGGCTTAATATGCTTCATTAACCTGAACAGCGAGCAGTGGTTCCAAGCAAAGAGTATGACAAGATCTTTTGCAGTTAGTGTGCTTACATAGTTTTCTTTTAAAGAGGGCATTAACCAAAATTCAGTTTGTAAAAGAAAGTGTCTTTAGGTACGATAAGCAGTGTAGCTTGTAATCAAGAAATAGGAACAAGAGTCACTGCTAGACTATGGGGTGTTTTCCTTCTTCGTTTCTGCCACTCCCAATTTTCATTTTCTTTTCTTTTTCCTTTGAATGCTAGGAGGAGATAGTGATGAATTGTTCCACAGCTCTTAGGTATTGCCAGAAATCAATTGTTAATAAAACTGGAAGCATTTATGGTAATAGGAAGTATGCGTGCGTGGAGCTAAGAGAAATAATCGGTTGACTTTCAGAATGAGTATTTGCTTTGGAGATTAGTATTGTTTCTAAACAGTTTCAGTTTCCGGTGCAGAAAGTTATATATATGTATCTATTAGGAGATAACACAAGATTGCATTTAAAACCATTTTAAGTGTTGCCATCTTAGAATTACAGTACCCGTAAGTATATATGACAACGTGTAGTGAACAGTCAGAGGAAACGCTGTAGTAGAGCTGAAAATTTGTTGGAAAAGCTTTGAGTGCTATCACTGAGTCTGGCTGGTGGTTGGTTTTTTTCCTCCCCTGGCTTGTAGCCAGCGTAACCCCGTTGAAATTTCCTAGTAGGGTTTCCTTAGCCTGGCAGAGTGATCCATCTTCAGCTCACCAAGGGGAAAAGAAGCCTTTTTTGTAGTTTTGCCATAGGTCCTCATCTCGCTATTTTCCGCTTTTATCCTGACGCTCCCCGTTGCTGATGGAACCATTAGTAGAGAAGGTGTTGCCAAGTCAGGCTATCGCTGGGGTCAGACAGTGTTTCATGATACAGCCAAAGCTCCTTTCTCCTGGCCCTCCCTGCCAGAGCGAGCTGTATTTATGAAAACGCCCCGTCTGCTTCTTTCCAAGCAAGCGATTGCAAGCAAGTTCTGTGTAGATCCTTAGATTAGGACCTAAAGAGCAACACGTTACACACACACACACAAAAATCCATTTAAACTTAATGACCATTTAGAGTATTTAGCTTCATAATGCTTCTAATTTTATCTTCTTAGCTTGCTACAGTTCTATCAGTAATAAATACTGTTCATGACAGTACCTTATTGCACAGCAAAATACAAAAAGTTCAGTACTGCTTTCCAAACACACATTTTTGGCCAAAGTTTACTAATAGTTAATATTGCTCATTTACATATGCTCTAATAATACTTAGAACATTTCATGTTCTATTTCAAACTATATATGTTTATAATAACAAACTCATTCTTCGCTAAGGGTGAGTGAATACTACGTTCCTTTTGTCAAACCCTTGCTTCCCCAGCTGTCAAAAATCGAATGGGATAAGCGATTAGTAAGACCCTTGTTCTCCTAACCGAACAGAGGCTTCAATTCTGAAAGACTCAGAAATGGGGTTTCCCTCTTCTGGCCTGAAGAAATAGATAAGGCCAGTTACAAATGCCAGCTTCTTTGGGTGCGCTCAGAGCTGAGTATTGACCTTTTATTTGCCGGAGGCATCTATCATATTTTGGTAGGCTCACCTGTAAGTAAGCAAATAAAAGTACAATTACTTGGTGCTTGCCAAAATGTCAGCCTGGTAGCGACACCGAGGGTTTTGAGTCACGCTGACACTGGATAGCTGAAGGAATTGTAAAGAGAGGGACTATAATGTTATTACTTATCTGCAATTTCTTTACTGATTCCTCCTATACTATAGTTGTACTGAGGGAAATTTTAGTTGGTTTAGCAAAATCTTATGCTATTACACCACTGGAAATGTCAATGGAACAACACTTTCTAGCATTTAATTACGAAACACCTCTATTACGAAATGATTGATTCCCTTTTCAGAAGCAGTAAGTTGCATCCTGTGATAACCTGTATTTATCCTAAGATTGTGGGCTTGCTCTTTGTTGTTTGCATCTTCCCAGAAGCATGTGGAACTTTACTACACATTAAATCTCCACTTTTTCTTGGCGCTTGATGCTATCTAACTCCTAATAAAGGCAATTGGACTTTAAAGAAAAATGCACATCCATTACTGTATCTTTAGTTTATACCTCTGAATTTGTCTCGGAATTGCAAGATAAATCTCCATCGTGTTTACATGTATTGATGCTCTGTTTGGAATCATTTTCTTGCTATGAAAACAGTATGATTAATGTCTGTCAGTCACCTAAATCAGCTTTAACCTTCTGTTTCCATTTTGTTCGTATACATTCTAAAGCAAAAAGCTAAAGGTTGGATTATGGCATTGGAAACACAGCTGCGAAAGAAAAGCATAAAACAAGAATGTGTATTCCTACATAGTAGTTGATGAAAGGGTCTTCCTTAGGTGCTCCAATAATTTAGCTCGTTTGGGGTTCTAGCTCTGTAGCCTAATGCTTCGTAAAAGATTTGTATTGAAAATCTATCTTAACCTTTCCCCTGCAGTTGTTAAAAGATGGACTCTACATCTGTTTCCTCATTTGACCTTCCATTTATTTATCTATTTATTCTCTGATTATTTTTTTAGGGAAGCCTACTTCAGTAAAGTAGAACTTTCTTGTTACATACAGCTGAAATAATCCAGTTTTCCCCTCCCTTCCACAACACTAAATTTACATTCATAGCTGCGTAGTACAGAATACCTCTAGATATGAATGCCTTTCTTGCAAGTCAAAACATTTTTAAGACTGTCAGAAAATTTTAGGAAGCATTCATTTTGTGGGCATTTTACTAAACATAATTTAAATTTTTAATGAGACCAATAATAATAATAATACAGATCACATGTTTACCTCTTTTTTCTAACTACTTTCTTCCTAGATGTTTTAAACTTTGGGGTCTCCCAGTCATACATTTATTGATTAAACTAAGGACTTCTGTTTACTGCAAAAAAAACCCCTAAAACTGTTTATTCAAAATGCAAATTAATTCCAGTTTGAAATCTTCTGCAAATCCTCACGAATTTGTATTACCCGCGCATTTTGCTCTTAGTCACTTTTACAGGCTAGAATTCCCGGGAATTCACGTTTGCTGAGAGACAATGGTGGGTCCTAGAAAATGAGTCCTGCCAAGGACGGGACTCATCACAGTCCACAAATAGATCGGGAGAAGTGTCTAAATAACAGCATTTAACTAAAAAAGAAACCCAATTTAAAAAGCAGCATTATAAAACATTTTAAAATGAAGTAGAAGTCCCCTCCTGCCCTCTACTTTCTTTACTTCCTATTGCAAAGTGAGGGACATTATTGAAGCATTGCCTTATATTAATTTTCGTAAGTCTAACAATCTTTATTCACTTGGCAATGAGGCAGCGGAGGCACTGACAGGTATGAGTCTTGTGTATCATCTATGATAACTGAGAAGTTCTGACAGTACTCGCTTCTTAGGAAAGCGGATCTTCTGTGAAGATAACATTGACGTTATCTGAGAATACTATGCAGAACAGCAGAGGTGTCTGATAACCATGGCTGAGAGTACAGTGTTTCTAATACCGGTGCGATTGTAGAGTATTTCCTCACAGGTGGGCTATATATTATGAAGGTATCCTTCAATCCAAAGCACAGTTTCAGTTGTTATCTAATTAAATATATCCAGGAGTTCAAATAACCATCTTCACTAATAGTTCTTAATATACTCCAGGCACTTCATAGATGAAGACTGAATACCTTAATGTCTGTATTTTAATCTTAATAGTGTTTTATGCAAAAGACAAGCCATTGCATAATTACATTCTTCAATGTGACAAGGATCATCGAGATTTGTAACTTAATGAAAAATGTTGTTGGCTTTGCTGGATAGCACCTTCCCCTGCAACTCATAGTCTTTCACTGATTTTTTCCTTCTTATGGATGTCATATTCTTGTTCTTGTCTTCAGTTGCAAGCCTTTACCCAGCTGTGCTCCCTAAACTCTACTTCTTAATACTCTTCCAGACGTCTTCATTCCGTGAATAAACTTTGAGCGGCCTCTTTTATTATTGTTTATACACTTCTGGTCATGTCTTCTTCTGGACCATCTCCTGTTCTTAAACTTTCTCTTTATTCCATCATATAATTCACCTCTTTGAAAAGAAGTTATGTTCTCATTGCAGGAAAGGACTTAGACATGTACAAAAGCCAGTTTCTGGAACTTCGGCAAAGACTATTGTATGCTGAAAAGGAAAATAAAAGAAGATCACAAGAACTGAGCAATGCCCTAGATGAAATTAAACGTGTAGTTGCAAGAAGAATGAACTTGACATCAAATCATACAGGTTTGTATGTATAAAAATGTACTGGTTCAGAGTTTTGTGTGCTTATGTTTTGTTATCACTGGTGCGGGGAGAAAAATCATTGATTTGATTACATTAGCATTAGATAGAAGTTTCTACTTTAAAAAAAAGGGTGGGGAAGTAATCTGTAGCCCTTCTTTAAATAGGGTTGGTTCGTAACTAAACAAATAAGGAGAGGAAAAAAAGGGGACACAATAGACTGCCGTGGTGTCATAGTGGCAAAGCTGTACATATTGCTAATAGAATTTCTCACGGTGCTTATCCCTCTCTTGCTGCCAACTACAGAGCACAGAATAAGCTATTTTTACCAGTTTTTACTATGCCCTGATAAATACTAGGGCTGCGCCTAACCTGGAGGGCAGGTACACCTCCTCAGATGTTCCACAGTCCCCCTCTCCTGTCCAGGTGGAGTGACTTTGGGGTGGGACTTTTCTTGCTGCCAACTACAGAGCACAGAATAAGCTATTTTTACCAGTTTTTACTATGCCCTGATAAATACTAGGGCTGCGCCTAACCTGGAGGGCAGGTATACCTCCTCAGATGTTCCACAGTCCTGGTCCCCCTCCTGTCCAGGTGGAGTGACTTTGGGGGGGGACTTTTTGGCCATGAGTGCTCTGCCATCCTGCCAACAGACCCCAGGCACCGAGGTGTGCGTGGTGGGTGCGCGGTCTCGTCTCAGCAGGCAGCCCACGTACAGCTGGGTGCTTGCCTGAACCCAGGACTTGAGAAGCCCTGCGAGGTCTTGCTGGCTAGATACAGCCCAAGAATGTTCCCTTTGGAATTTATTTTTATCTTGCAAGTAGCTTGTTAATAATCTGAAGGAAATGTGAATGCTTTTAAGTGATGCCAATTAAAAGAAAACCTTTGAGGGGGGTTTCTCTGCTTTTTTTTTTTTTTTTTTTAAGAGGGACACCAACATACAATTAAGTTTACTCTAGTGATTTGGCTTCTTCCCATTGTTTAATTAAACTTCTTGTTTATTTAAAAATGTATTGTATCCTTGCCTTACAGACTGTTGTACATCCCCATCTATCTGCACAGGGTAGTTGCATACAATAGATTAGACAGTTTGATTCTGTCCCCTAAAAGACATGAGGTAGTAGTGCAGGATCTGCCTTCCTCCCTGTTCGGATTGGAAGAGCTACTTCCCTGGGGAGAGAAGGAAGACTAGAAGGGGCATCTCTGCGCTGGAGGCATTCCGCAACACACCCTGACTTCAAAAACAGTCTGGATGCTACTGAAAACTACTTTTTAAAAATCCTTATTTGCATTCAGTACAGCGGGCTGGTATCAGATTTAAATAAGGATTTAGCCAGGACTGTTAGAGGGGAAGAAGGAATATTTTCTTTGTGTAGTCAGCTTCGTTGCTTACCCTGTTCTTCCCTGCCTCTTTTTGTCTGTTTATTCAATATTAATTCGGTGGGACTGTTCAGATGCGTATAAACAAACGCTTGAGTGTTGGCAGGGTTGTGGCCTTGCAAGCTTTAGAATAGAGACCATGTTGTCAGCTCCGTGACATATATATATATACACACGTATGTTTGGTGGTTTTTTTTAAAAAAACCTCTTTTCTGTAGAGTGGGGAATCTCTGTCGAGTCCTGATTTTCAGTGGGAATATCTTTTGGAAGTTGAAAAACTTCAAACAAATATTGCCCATTCAGTAAGCCTCTGTCTTCATTGATCTAAGCCGAGTGAATAAAGCTGATGATGGTCATTTGTAAGACTTGTTTTAAGTAACTTTGAAGGGTGGTAAATTTGGGGAGTTATCTTAGATGCATTTCTTAGGAAAAATAGCTTTCCGTCTAAGTCAATAAACCTCCTGTTGCATTGCTGACTGTGAAACTGTGATTTTTCAAGTTTTCTGCAGCTTGGAAGGCTGTTAATATGATTTCGTTGGCTAAACCTCATTGAGGTGGTGTTCTGAGACCAGGAAGCCCTCGCACCAGCCTCCTTGCACAACTGATAAAGCATCTGGAGGAGGCACCCACTGAAGTACGAGTTACCTTGTCTAAATTCATAGGAGCTTTATTTTTCTTTCAGGGCAAAAAGACATACACATTGTAGGTGGCTAGAAGGGTATAGAAAAATTCACTAACACAGAACGACAGACAAAATTCTAGTATGAGAGCCCTATGCTGCCTGTGTCAGGAAAGCAAGATTTATGCCTTTAGACAACTGGTAAATAAAGTCTATAGTGATCTTCAGTTTTGTTTCCAAGCAGTTCTCTTAGATACTGGAAAGACCATTTGTTATCTTCGTAAATACAGTCTTAATTTTAATCCCTGCAAATATTTTTTTAAAAATTGCATGATGCATATCATCTCTGCCCCCATGGGTATCTTACATTAAGCACAACTTATTTTGCAAGCTTATAATTCATTTTAGAATTAAGTTGTTCAAGTTTTTATTAAATTTATTTTAAAGAATTTTTACCACCACTCGAAGATGCAGGAGTGTTTATATCAAAGAAGATAAATTAGTAGATTAAATGGTATCTGGGTTTTTTTATATGGCTTATTTTAAAAACAGTAGGATTATTTTTGTAAGGTCACACTTGAGTTATTTCAACGTGAATAAATTATTTTCATCTTTATTTTAAACTAGTAAAGAAAAAATAAATGTTCCCTACCTTTCTCTTAACTACTACAGTCTTTTGTTTCTCAAATAGTTTCTAACGGCCTGGATCTGGTTGTGCTTTTTGCCTTAGGACTTTTTATAACCTGAGAACTTTTGTTTGAGCCCTGAACACCGCCATGCGTCACATTTTGGGGAAAGCATTTAAGTTTGTTAAGTAATTAAGAAAGTTATTAATCAGAATCTGTGTTTCTTATCATTTAAAAAGTTGCTTGCCAACTGTGCAAAAAACAAACCAGTTCTTCTCCTGCTGCTTTTAAAATAACTGCTTAGAGTGTTTTAAGATGGCTCAATCCTGCAACTGTTTAGGCACAGGGAAATGCAGGCGGAGTTCCCAGGACGTTCAGGCGTGGAGCTCTGCACCATTGCCTGGGCGGTGGGGTTGCACCGGGCGATTCTCAGTTTATTACCGCAGGAGGGTAGTATGTATGACATAGAATCTCTTCTGAGGAATAGTTCTGATTAAATAACCTTGTGTGTGGTAATCTGCTAGTATTCAGTTGAGGCAAACAGTTGAAATAATAGGCTTCACTGCTGGCTTTTTATTTTATGTGTATATGTGGATTTGTTGTTTCTTTAAGATGATATGAAGTGGAAAGTGTTAAACCTCACCAGAAAACTCCCCGTGCACATTACAAACATGTACTACTATCTACCTCACCTTCGAGAATATGAAGATGCCATTTTCCCAAATGTTATTTTTGGGCAACAGAGAACTGGAGGTAGGACATAAAGTTTGGCTCATATTTTCTATATGTTTATGTTTTAGATGAAGTTCTAGCAATGAAGCATACTCAAAGTTCAGAGGGGGTTTTCTCCCTAAACTTTACAGTGTTGCCAAACTGAATAAATTTTAATGGGGATGGCAAAAGCACTTTTACCACTCCCATCCCAATTTCAAGTCTTCCCCAAAGTATTCTGATAAACCTTTTCAAATATCAACAAAAATTAGTCATAACTGAAAAGCAATACTATTTTTGTTCTTAGTCATGGATTCATGTGGCAAAGATGCATTAGCTGACATTTTTTTCCCGCAAAATCAGTATGAGTAAGGAAGCCAGGGAGAATTTACAATTCACACAGTTTGCTAAAGTTAGGAGCAAATGGAAAGGTGATGTGGTCATTTGCAGGATATTAATAAATCTTCGTGTAACTTTTTCATCCATGTGAGAAATCAGCTGACACCTGCACAAATCATAATGAATTCCAGTGAACTGTAATACAAATGATTAAGTTACATCTTCTCCTAATTGTCATACGATAGCTAAAAAGAACATTCAAAAGCAATAAACAAGGAACTAGTCAACTATTTTGCTGAGTTTTGTATTTTGTTGAAAATTTCTCTAAGGTGATTTTATATAAAGAAACATTGGCAGCACTTTTGATTTAACTAAAAAAGTAACTTGGCCGTGCCCATGACATGGGCTAGTGGTTCTAGTGGAGTAGTGCTGTGGTTCTCACTGGAGTGAGATCTATGAGCCCATAGATAAGTGTGAGTATGCAAAAGACCACAGGTAGTCAGCAAAATGATTTGCAAAAAAACCTCAGAAAACCAGATACCTTCACAAGCAAGCAAAAAAAAAAAAAAAAAAGAAGAGGAGAAGTAGTAAGTAATAAAAGAATGCTGCATTTGCTGCATGTTTAACTTTCATTTATTTGTACATGAAATCACAGTACAAGACCACACTTTAACAAGTACGGGTTGACCTTCAGCGTGTAAAACCAAACAAAACCTCCGTGGTTTAGCAGGTTATGTGCTGGGAAGGAACGTTGGAACTTTGACATTTTTGAGCTGATGCTGGCACAAATGAGGGAGTCTGGAGCAAGTCACTAACTGCAGCTACTCCTGTCCTTCAAAATTTGCTGCTTCCTTACCAGCCTCAGGAGGTTTTGGTGAATAGGAATCTTCTGCAAGGACTAAGAATTCTACAGGTTTGCTGAGCCATATTAGATCGCTGACTTCAGTAATGCCCTCGCCAATGAAAAAAGAGAGGTCCTGCTTACCATGATGTAATATAGCACAGGTTTGCTACTAGTGGAGTCTTTGCCAGAGACTATTTCAGTTCCTTTCTTCTTAATAATAACAACGACATCTGAGTTCCTTTCTTCTTATTATTGATTATGTCAAAGCCATAGATTCATATAACTTAAACTGCTCAGAAAGATTTTTGAGATTTTGATTTTTGGATTCCTTTCTGATCTACACAGCGCTCACCTGGTTTAACTCTTTCTACTCAGATCTCCAACTCCATACCAAGAGCTAGCACTTATTTTGCAATACCCACTTTTGAAACTCAATAGCAGATACCTATGTATTTGCCAGAGGTAGTAATATCTCCACGTTCTCAAATGTTGACAGTCTACACAGTGTAGACCTGGTGCTTATAACACAGACACGAGTGTCTCTGACCAAAACTTAGCTGGAGGTATCTCTCCTTGCAGGCAGTAAAGCAAATGCTGTCACAGTGCTATAGGAATATTAACTGTCACCAAGTCTCATGGTCACATCAAATCAAAATTAAAATGTAATCTCAGTTTCCCTTTACCTGACTTAAAATTACATGGCTTGTGGACTTCTTTCTTTGCAGTCTCACTGGTGATGGGTATTCCTACTGTGAAAAGGGAAAAACGAGATTATCTTATTAATACACTGCATTCCCTACTTTCTGAACTTTCTGAAGAGCAAAAGAACGACTGTGTAATAATCGTCTTTGTAGCAGAGGTAAGTTTGCATGGAAGGGTGTAGTATGCTGATAGAAAGACAATATGGAGATTTATATCCTAGTGTAATGGTGTAAAATACTGTTAGCTAGGTCTTTGGGAGGGATTTCTTCAGGGCTGGAGGGGATAGTGAGCAGTTAGTGCCTCAGGTTCATATGTGGAAAAACCCCTGTAACTCAGATGATCGAAGGGTAAAAAGTCGTATTACATGTACAAACACAGTTGTTGCAGTCAGATTTTCGAATAAAACCATATGAACTCATTATTTATCTCTGAAAGTATTCTACTTCAAGAATGAAATGTAAATCCTCCACAGAAAGGTTCCATAGAACCTGAAAAAAGTAAACTTACTCAGTCTAACAGAAGCGTAGATGATTTATCTGCTGCTTTGATATCATGTGTCTTGTGAAGTACCTGGACATGCTGGAGCCTCGCCTTCTGCATGTGTATTGGTATTTCTTGTGAAGGAGAAAACTGTTCAGAGACTCGAACGGTTCCATGTTTTGAGAGAGTGAACAGTGCTCAAGGTAAAATATTAGGGGTAAATGAGTTTTTTTCTCATTCCAAAATGTCTTGAGCACATTGGGAAAAAAGCTACAGAAGAGAATTAGCTAGTGATAGTTACTTGCAGACAAAAAGACTGTGCAATTATTCAGACTTCATATTTATTCTTCGTATTTCTTTGTCCTTCCATAAACAACATTAAATTTCATACATGTATTCATTAACAGTTAAAGTTTGCTTTTTTTAGTTCAGTCATCACATAGAGTAGCTTTTGCAACTGTAATACTGTCAAACAGAACATAGTTCACTTTATTAAGTTAGGTCATGACCTCCACTTTCCGTTTGGATCACAACAATAAGTAGATAGGCCCAATTTTAGTGGCTGTAGTTCCTCTTCAGCATAATTTTCAGGAGCTGAACTTATTTTACAGTTGCTATTTCCCAACAAAGAGCCCTGGCAATGATGAGCTTTGCCTAGCTGTCATTCAGATAAACCTTCTATTACAGGGCTTCGGAGAGTTCTTTGAGTTTTTAAGGGTTAACTTCTCAGTAGTACAGTTTCCCACTGTGGACAGTCCTAACGTGGCACTTTTAACAAACAGTAGCTTTGGTTGTAGTAATAGTCCATGTCAGCCAATTTAGGATTAAACTGCCGTTGTAAGACTCAGTCTCTCCCCATTCTCCCGTCCCCAAAGTCATGTTCTTGCAACTTCTATTTTTCAGCCATGCAGTAAATTAGAGCAGGTTGATCGTGCTGATGTGAGAGGGCGATAAGAACATTTAATTATTAGAGGGGGGCAGGTGCGTGCACTGATCATGAATCCATACCTTCCTTTTTCCCAGAAAGTTTCAGAAGACCAAGTTAAATGTTTACATCATGGGTTAAGTCAGAGTAACTTATTGACTGAAAGTGGGTTTCCAAGTTGTTGGTATTTTTTTCTTATCAGAGTTCTTTACATTGCATCTTTTTTACTTATTGCAAATTTAATATATAGCTGGTAACGATTATTTGTGTATTTAAAAAAAAATCCAAACTGCTAAGACAGGTATTGTATTGCTTTCGAAATCCATAAAACTTAGCACTGTTTAATATAGTTAACAGACGTGTTTTCCACACTGAAACTGTTATTTTTATGAAACGGCAGCAATGAATAAGTATGTCCTCAAAATTTCCAGACTAAGAGCCATAAGTTTGTCATATTAGGAAGAAACTCTAAATCAAAATTTTAAGTATCGCTAGGTTTAGAAAATTTTGCTCAGGTGACTTTTTCAACAGCCACGGGCCTCTTGTGATTTTTGGAAACGGCACTTTTTACTGACAGTTGTATGACTGTGCTTTTCTGGCATAAGTGAAAGCTGTAGAACAGAATTTTATGCAGAAAATGGCTTGGCCTCCTGCAGAAGCAGTGAAATGCAGAAACCATAGCTGGAGATAGTTCCGTTCTACTTTCAATTACACTGAAAGTTCAGTTGGCTTGAAAACCCCGTACTGTCCTTCAGTAGAAATGCTGCTATACCATATTGCTTTTGTTTGGAATGAAAAGAACTGGAGACTAAAAATGAAGTTTTTGCATGTAAATATTCCCTACAAAATTTTGCTTAATACAAAAATGGGTGACTTGAAATGACCCCCCCCCCCCCGCTTCTTTTCTTTAGGTGAATGCAGAATATGTTAACAGTGTTGCAGAAAGCGTTAAAACCAGGTAAGTCCCATAGAGTGTAACACCGAACAGCTAGTAAACACATTTTGAGCTTTTGTGGAAAGAATTAGAGCATTTCAGCAATAAATTACAACTCTACCATACTGAAATGGAACTGCTAAGAAAAGGCAAAGGTGCACTCTTAATACGTGTATGGGAACACCCTGTGAAATTCAGAACAGAAGGATGCGTATCAGTTTATTTTCCTTTTCTTATTTCATAAATATGCTTTAACTAATCAGGCAAGGTCTCAACTTACGTCTCTGATAAATATTTACTTGAACCTCAGTCTTTTCCCCGTGAAATTAATGATGCAATTCAAGGCACCTGAGGCTACATGTATTGGGTCCCCACTGACTTCACGGTCCTGCGATGTCTTCTGATGTCTGCCATGTTTTCTAGGTGTTTTTGTTTCCTCGTTTGCCTCTTTTTCATGAAGGCAATGGATTTTGGACAGCAATCTGATTCTATTCATAATGTTAAATACTGTTATATGATGGGTAACATGAGATGGATATTCTTTGCCGTGCCAAATTAATAGAAGAGTTATCAAACAAAGGCTTGAGTCCCACTGCAGTTTTTCTTGCTCTTATCGTTCTTTCCCATAGACATTTACAGCATCATGTGCGTGTGAAAAACCTTAGAGGAGCTTGAGAAGAACTGCTACTAAATTAAAGTTTCTGGGCAAAAAAATACATTCATTGGTAGATTTAATTTGTCTTACAAAAACTGCTTTCTAAGAACTGGTATAGTGTAGCTAACAGTCACAAAACAGGTAAGGCTGAAGGCCCTGAAGGGCAGCCGAGTGAGAGAAGCAAGAGATGAAACCTGCGTTGTGCTGCAGTACTGGTGTTGCTGGTTGCTTTGATGCACAAGCTCATTTGTGAATTAGTTACTCTGGCAGAACCCCACTTTGGCCAGAATTGGAAGTGAAACAGCCTTTCCCCTCTCTCCTTCTTTAAAATGGCTACAAGAGAGCTCTCAATCTTTGTATCAACGTTTTTTAGAGTATTAACAAAAAGAAAACCAAAAAAGTTGAACAAGATCCCCAGAGAGGTTGCCCTTTTCCTTCACTTTTGAGGCTTTGCTGCACGTCCTGCTCTACTCAAGAGGTTTCCCAGACTGTATTTAGGGTGCAGGTTTTCCCCCAGAAGGCTCCCCAAGCCGAGCCTGCTAGCCAAGTAATAGCAAGAGCGTCCTGCCTCCAGAGGGGTTAGCTCGGCAGGGAGTACCGCGGCTAGGACGAGGTGACGAGGCAGTCCTCCTCGGTACCGTTGAGCACCACAGGGTACAATGCCTACAGCAACTTAAGCACTTAGATAATTTTTATGATTTTGTTACGGTTTTTGAAAATACTACTGCAGAGTAGACGTTACGCAGTAAGATTGAGATTTTTTTTCATAAGCATGCTTGTACTGTGATGTGCTTTATTTTTAATGGTAGCTTTTTTTCATTGATGATAGGAAATGGGGAACTCAGTTCTGAAAACTCCTTATTTCAGTGATCCTATACCTATGAAAAACTGAAGTTTTGTTTTATTTTGTTTTGGTTTTACATATTCTGGAGGAAGGGGGAGATTTGACTTCCAGGTTTGGCTCCCGAAGTTGATTACACATTTTTTCAATGACTTTTTAAACGGAAAATTTAATCCTTAGAGCAGAGACTAGACCCAGACTCCCCATACCAAACCCCCACTCCAGTATCATTTTGGCTAGAATGTAGAATTAGAGTTAGAGCAAGCGTAAGGAAGCTAGGAGCTCTCATGCAAGGGGGAACAGTTGCATGTTGTTCTAGACAGTGGATTTGGTTGTGAATTACTGCTGCGTTTTGGCAACCATCTCAGGATCACGAGTAGGCATCTACAGATGCAGGAGGGGCAGGATTTCTCAGACACACTTCACTTCAGTGTTTTCTGTGACTTTGACGAGTTACAGTCCTACCTGTTCTGATGGTTGTCAAAGACCCCTTCTTGGTTCCTAATTTACAATCTATGTGACTTAGTTTCTTTACTAGAGTTGTGAATTCCACTTTCGGAGGAGCAGACCTAACTCTGGGGAGCTGCCGTGATTGCCCTCAAAAGTCTTCTTGAGGAATGGGATCTCACTAAGCTTCTCTTCACAGCTTCCCCAGAGAAATCCAGTCTGGAGTCCTAGAGGTTATTTCTCCTCCTGCTTCTTATTATCCAGATCTTTCCAACCTGAAGAAAACATTTGGGGATTCGGAGGACAGAGTAAGGTAAGATAGCTGTATAAAACCTAAGAACTTTTGCTAAGAGTATAAAATGGAAAATTCTGCAAAAGTCAACATTGTTTGAGCTGATAATGTTTTTGTATTTCAGAGCTAATGGACCTCAAGTGTACTTTTTAAAAAAATTATTACACAAGGGGATCTTGAGAAAAGCTGTGCTCACATCAGCTTCAGGGTGAGAGCCAAGGCTTCTCCTTTGGGTCTTGACTCTAGACATCCCACAGGTTTTAAACCAGATGGATAATGCCAAGAGGCGATAGGCTAGATGATCTGGTCATAAAGGGAAAAATAAGAAAATGTTGTATGTGACAGGTAAGGGAGAGGCTCTGTGGACACACAAAGGAAACCCCATGTGGCCCCTTAGCTAACTAGTAATAACTACTGTGGGTTTAATTAATGACCTAACTTTGGTTGATCATGGACTTTTTATACTACTGTTAATAATGTATCCTAACTGGTCATTTCATTCGCTCCTGTGCCCCAAATTCACTGAGACAGAGATTATAACCTAACAAAATTGATTTATTGGAGGGAAGTAATTTTCTTTTGATCAACAGTAAGTAATTTATCAGAAGCTACCCCAACAATGCAGCAAGAGAGCTGCAGTACTGAGAGTTGAGGTTGAAGGAAATCAGCAAGTGTATGTACGCATGTGTATCAGGTTTATAGATAAACCTTACATCTTTCAGGACATAAACATGTTTACATACTTATACATAAGTTTCAGATACGATTAGATTTGAATCAGATACGGTTTTATGTTAATTAAATACTGATAAATTACTCTCTAGTCTTTCAGCATTGATTATCAAACATCAGCTTCACCCTCTGGTAAAATGAGAGCCTGTACTTTGTAGAAAAAATCTGTGTTTACATTTAAACCTGAAAATGAAGTTTATCAACCTGCTTTCTGTGCTGTTCATCAGTAAAAGCACTTAATTTTAGATCTTTAAATAATCGTTGTGTGTTGATCTCCACTGTTCATAATATAATGAGTAGAATCTTTGAGAGTCATTTGTCAAAAGTCATTTGACATGAATATACTTGTTAGATATTTTGTTTCAGGCTGCATTGATACAGATCAAAATTTTTTGCTTAGTCAATGTTAACTTTTATAGGAAAGTCAAATTATTTACAAATGTTTACACTGATTACAGAGGAATTTTTATTCACTTAACAATGAGTTAGGATACTCAACCTTACAATTTTACTGTAGAGAAAAAACTGCAGAGCATTAGAAATGCTTTTATTATAGAAATAACCCTTGCAACCCCCCCAAAAAAAGCTTATCAGAATTTGCTGCTTATGTTTAGGTGGAGAACTAAACAGAATTTGGATTATAGCTTTTTAATGCTATATGCCCAACCTAAGGGAACACTTTATTTACAGGTACGTTCACATTATCATTAAGTAGCTGCAATACATCTGTACTGATTACTAGCTTTGGCAAATTTATTTCAAAGGCCTCAATAAAAACAGCAATCTATTGTCATTTTCTGTGTATTTTGCCTGTGCTCTTTACAAGCATCCGCATATTTCTGTGTTTATATACATCTTGCAGCCAGGTACTATTTGATTAAATCCATCTGTGCCTTCCTGTCATTTGTGAGGTTGAATAACAAGGTAACCGAAGCACGAAACCCTTATTTGATTAGGTTAAGAAAGTCAGAGTTTAATGTGTTTTCACTTGGTGCAGCAACACAGAATAGTGGTGGTAGGTCCAGGTTATATCCCAGATCACAATGAACTAAAAAACCCTTACAGATAGGGAAACATACCGGGATAGTGATACTGGAGACAAGGTTAAACCCCAAGTTGGTACAGATCCTAAATTCTCCAGAAGATTTAGAGTGTTAGACTTCAAGAAGATCCGCATGCATTCAGGCTTAGGTTTAGCCATCGTTCTAGCTTTGTGCTAATTTGCACTCCATAAAGATGATAATCACCACCAGAGATTCCAAAATTTATCATGACTGTTCAATAATGGAACAGATCCATAAAATGTCATGTAGCTCGTGAACATCAACAGTTTTTAAAAAAGCTCAGAATAGCATTTCACTTAGTTCTTAGTTTTCCTGGGTCTTCTCCTGCTCGAACAGGCCTCAGACTGTATTACAGAAGTCCATCACAAGATTCTCAGAAGCAGAAGAGGAGACCGCAAGAGCAGGCACCTCGTACAATTCTTGTATTTAACACAAACGCGTTTGAGCTGGGCTACTCAAGAGTCTATGCTCTGTTCTCAAATTTGGCATAGGCACTCAGAGACAGGTGGACAAAGAAAAATGTTGTCTATGAACGGTTAAGGTTTACTGGAAAATGAAGTATTTTCCCGTGACTTTCGTATATTTTTAAGAAGGCTACCCAAGTTTACTAAGTGCACTAGAGCATTAAGGCATGGGAAACACGGTGAAGGGAAACGTTAAGCATGCTGCCAGACACTTAACGTCCCTTTCTGTTGTAAAGTTCTCCAAGCATTCATGTTTGCATGGAAGTGACTTACTTATGTATTTGTATTTTAAAAGAAATTTGAGAATATGTGTTTTCTTATCTGGGACATTATATAAGGCCTGAACTGTCTTATTTGGAGCAAAGCCTGGATTGTGATGGTCTGGTGGTAGTTATGGCTGCATGCAGAATTTCCTTAGAAAGAAACTATGCTTTCCCCATACCGTTACCTAGAATATCCAGTTCTTCATTTGTGTGTCCAGTCTGCAGCTGCTTCTGTAGCACAGGTGCTGGTCTGCCCAGAAAATACTCTACTGTAGAGTACAGGTGAAAAGAAGGAACACATGCTGCCATAAAGTTAGTTATGATCTCCTTCCATTTGGAAGCTTTGTATTAATGGAAAGCAGATAACTTAAAATTCCCTTTCCTCAGCCTGGTACAAAGATTTACTTCAGTAATCTTAGGGAAAACTTGAACTAGCTTAGATTTTATTTAGTCTTTTGTCAGGAATAGTATCATTTGGGTGACTGATACTAACTTCTGAATTTTGAAAGAAGATAAGCATGTGTAATTACTCTTGATGTCTACATAATATCATGAGCCAGGCAAGATCTTAGCTGAATAAACACCTGAACGCTCATTCTAGGATACTGCTGAATCAGGATTTAAGCAAGTAGCTTTGTGAAGTCCATTGAAGCTAACAGGGTTACACTGTGGATGAACCTTACCTATGATCAAACATGATCTTTGAAAAAAGACAATAAATCCCATCAGTCATCTCATCTCATCTCTTCTACTTGAAGCATCTCTTCTACTTTGCCTGTCTTTTTTTTTTTTTTTTCCTTTCCTGAACAAGCTACTGCTCCTTTTGGGCTTTTTTGTGGAATTTTCTTAATCAATAAAAAACTAAGATTACTTTGAAATACTTGTTTCCACTTTCACTACACTTCCTGGAGTCCACCAGAGCCCCCTGAGACACTTGTAATAATGTCAGAGACAAGATAATGAGATCTTAACATAGCCATAAAAGCAGGCTTTCGAATCCCAATCTGGTAGTGAGGAGATGCATTTGTCTTCGTGTCCGTATAGACTTAGTTCGTTCTGAAGTGATTAAACGTTTCAAATCTGAAAGCATCTTTGAGAAACTCAGACACAGCAGTTTTGGGGAAGCGTTTTGTATTAGCACTGAGGTGAACCAAAAATAAAACATTAAATAAATCTTTTAGTATCTTCAATTAAAATCTGTTATAAACTTAAAACTTAAGTTAACTGAACTACTGCTATGCTTTTTTCACCTTATGAGTTTTTTCCTTTTGGAGGCTGGGGGAGCTTTGTGTATTTATATATAACATATATGTATATACTGGTAATATATATTGCCAGCAGCACTTATCTGTACATCATTATTATAATTCCTCTAGTGTGTTTCTCTAATGGTTTTAAGGCAATAGCTCAGTGAAGTCATTAGGAGTCTTTGTATTGATTTTTTTTTTTTTTTTCTCCCCCCCTACTAGACTCTAGGTCAAGCCTGGTATTTGGTAGAGTTCCTAAAAGGACTAACTTTCATGACAGTGCATTTTTAGCTGAAATTTTCTTTATGCTTGTACTTAAAAAAAAAAAAAAAATCTTTATGGAATGAACTATTAGAGGTTTGTTTTCTGTGGAAAATGAGAGAATAAGATTTTTCAGCTTAACAGTCTTCACATACTCGTTGAACGGTGATTCAAAATATAAAAATACCCTAATATAATTTAGAAAGGAAAATACTTTCCTGTCTGATGCCTGCACTTCCATTGTATGCTACCACTTTTTTGTTGCTTCTTCATTTTTACTTCTCTTAGACAGATAACCCACATAAGAAAAACGAATAGAAACCCATTTATTGTCTATCATTTAGGACATTTACATAGCCTTGCTATTGTGCACGTATCTTTTTTCATCCCAAAGAATGATGAGTGAAGGGAAATTAGCTGCGATCGTGTGTTCTGCTGGCCTTCTCAGCAATGGGGCAAATGGACTAAAGAGTTCGTATCTTAAACTTCCTGATCAGCTGTGTACAGCCACTGCATAATCTCCTTTGGTAGATAAGAGCGTATGAAAAACAAGTGGATGTAAGCTGAAGCCAGAAAAATTCAAATTAGAATTTGGGTACCACATACTAAATGTTCAGGATAATTACACATAGTATGACTTACTGCAAAAGAACCCATACTGAAATCTCTAAGCAATGGCAGATGCTCTTCAAGAAGATGTGCTTTAGCTGAACACAAATTAGGGGGCTCAGTACAGGGTTAAATAAACTTCTTTTGATGGCCTGCGCTACATAGGATATCAGACTACATTCTCCAATATTCACTTTTAGCTGTCAGCTTCAGAAAAGACTGTTTCAGACTTCTCACTGTGCGAAACTGCTTTCGTAACCACATCCACATTCACTTTGCATCACAGCCTCTATATTTTTCATCTTTATTACTTTTGTACACTTTCTTCTAGTGTTTCTCGATATGGTGGTCTCACTAGGTTTTTGAGATGCTCCTCTCTCTGCCTTTCGTCCTTTTTTGGGTGCCTCTCAATTTCTCTTTAAGGATTCTCTGAAAGTCTCTTTGATTCCTTGCTCTTCTCCCTTTACACCTAGCTACTGGATAATCCTCTTAGCTCATTTAATTTTATGCAAAATTTCTTGTAAGGTGATGTTTTGGGGTTTTTTTGTTGTTCTCTGCATAACTGTCACCTCAACTCAATCCCCAGATCCCAGAATCTGTTAATAAGCATTCATCTTGATCACTTCATCTCCATCTATCTATTTTTTGTTATCTTACCATCAGCGAAAGCTGACAGGGTCAAAACAGATCTCCTAATCTTATCTTTCAAACTTCATTCTACTTCCTCCTGGGTTCACAGTTGACAAGGCATTTCTCCCCCGCCAGCCCTACACTTGTAGTAACGGCCAAATTCAGCTAAAAGCTGTGGGCCTGCTCTCTCATGCTCTTGCTGCTGACTCTGCGCTGAGTCAGTTGAGGATGCAAAACCAGCAGGAAACCATGCATTTTTTTTTCTCACAGCATCCATCTTCTACCTATTTAGCTTTCTGAATCAGATTCCAGCAGCACCAGAGCCAGTGCAGTACAGCAGGTACATCAAATTAACTGTATCCTTACACTGCACCCCAACAACATGTTCCTGAAGGCTTAGCCTCCTCTTCCTGCGTTTTTCACACCCAAACCGAATTCAAACCTTGAATTACTTGCTCCTTAATTATTTCTGGAATTCATTTATTTCCTTTGTGTCATTACCTCTAAACTCCTTGTTTGGACTCACTATCCTCAGCTTTAGTAACTGAAACAGCCTCTGGCTTTTCAGATCCCTCATTCTTCTCTGAAAGCAGTGCAAAAACGCAGCCCAGGCCTTTCCCGTTTCCTTGATGGATGTCAGTCTCCTTTTCCGAGGATTCTTTAGCTGGCTCTGCTGCTGTATTCAGTGTCAGCCTTTACACCACCTCGAAAGCTCTATGTATTCCTGTCCTTTGGTGCACTTCACAGCATGTTCCTTCTTTCATGACTGGTATTCCCTCAAACAACTTGCTTTCTACTAGCATCTCAGTAATCATCCACAGTTCTTCTCAGTCACCTTGTAGGTATGACAAAGTCTGCCCAGGCTACTTTACACAGCTTTTAACCATCTGCTTTAGACTCCTCTTTTCAAACAATTTGCTCCTGCTGCTTATCAACGCTTATACAACTTCAGTACAAACTGTCTACTGTCTTCTTGCTTAACCTCTATCTTTTTGCTTAATGTTTTCTTTTAAGTGAGATCTCTTTAAGGTAGGGAGTCCTCCTTTCTCAAAAAAGTGAGAAGCGCTCATGGTGTTATAGCCACTGCCGTAAATAAATATTTAATGAATGACACTGAAACAGAGATATATGTAGAAGCTAATAGCAATCCACTGTAGTTTGGCACGCCTTCAGTACACACTGTACAGCAGTCAAACGCAATGCAGTTATCACTTACATGTGGCAACATCACCACCACTTGCCTTCTGGTTTTTTGTTGCCTTTTTTTTTTTCCCAGCTGGAAGATGATATTATAGCCAAACCTGATTATGTTCAAAGTATAAAAGACTTTGCTGCTAAACAGTCCCAAGAGTGGATGATTCTCGAGTTCTCCCAACTTGGATTTATTGGTAAGTATTAAGACCTCAGCAGGGTCAATTGGATTTGGAGCTGTGTAGGTCGAGTAGGTCTCACCTGGAATTACATTTCAAAGCACGGAAGGACTCACGTATCAAAACTTCCTTGGTTCTTCAGGAAAGCTCCCACTGAAAGTCTTTTACTTTCTGTGCTCTTTAAAACTGTCTTTTTAATGCAGAGTCTCCTCAGCGTAGGGTCTAGTAGTTGGGTTCCCGTAAGAAGCACATTGTTCCACCTCGGGGCACTGTGTCTGTGCCCCTGTAGCGTGCAGTCTTCTTTTCAAGAATGGAATTTGAACAATCTATAAAAAATCTGCTTCCTTTCCTTTGTGGAGCAGAACATCCCATATCGTAGGGAAGGTTTTTTATTATTTTTAGTAGTAAGGTTTTTTTTTTTTTTCCTTCAGTTCTAATACAATTTACTTCTGATAACACCTTATAAATGTTAGGTCAAACACAGAAATCTAACAAAATCTGCTAATACAAATAGCAAGAGAACTAAATGAACAGTGATAGTATTTTAAAAGCAACATATTTCATGTCTAGGTCTTAATTTAAAGATACTCAGTATAGTATTGCCAGTGAAATTGCATGTCTAGCATTTTGAGGAATTATTCAGACTTCATTTCATCTGACACACTGATACAGGTGACTGGCAGATTTGTGCTTGGAACTAGGATATAACTGCATGCTTTATTAGTCAACTAGTTGACTATGTGAGAGTATCTCCAGGCATGGAATGGAAATCTTTTCAAAATTCCAACAAGCTGGAGGATAAGCAAATCTCCAAAGTTGGAGTCTGTGTGAAATTTCCACTAAATATCAGAATTACACCCATCTGTTTAAGGCTGGAGTAAACATAAAACTGCTGATTTTTCCACAGCAATAAAAAATATCTGAATATGCAACTTCTTGTCTTGCTTTCAGGAAAATTGTTTAAATCAGAAGACCTGCCACTCATAGTGGAATTTTTTCTCATGTTCTATAAAGATAAGCCCATAGACTGGCTTATAGACCACCTGCTCTGGGTTAAAGTGTGCAATCCAGAAAAGGATGCAGTAAGTATGTCTATGAATTTATGAACATAAGTAATATTCAAACAGTCTCAGTGACAAAATAATTTATTTTCAAAAAGCGGAATAGACATCTCTCAAACCTGACTGACTTTGGAATTTGTGGGGAAAGATCTGCTGCAGATCTGCATAAAGTGGCACGGTGTTTGAGCCCATTAGGGCAT